GTTAGAAAAGATGGAAATTCTGCCTTCTGATTACCTAAGGAGGAAGTCTGCTCCCAGTTTAAGGAGCAATGGCAGATTTTATAAGTCCTGTCATGTGACCTGCCTTGACAGGTGTTCTTGTTTGCAGCACTTAACTTCTAGGAGTTGTAAACATGCAGTTTTTCTTACTTGTCTTGGACAAAAATAATCCTCTGTAGAAAATCCATTACAAAATGATTTTGCATAGCCATTTAATGTTGAAGATTGCATTGCAAATTTGGTAGGCCCATTGTTTTGGTAGTAAAGATATATCTTATTTTAGGTAGTAGAGGAGTGTGTGATCTATTGTAAATAATAGGAGCAACTAAGTATTGATTAGCTGCCATTGTAACAGCAGTGGGCTAGGAGTTTTTACTTTATTATATCCACTTAACATTATCGCTTCTGCGTGAGGTTCAGTGCCCTCACTCTATGAGGAAACTAATGCTTAAGCGTTCTTTCCAAAAACATATATTAGTGAGCAATAGATTTGAGATTCTTAAGCCTATAGTTTTGTCACTGTGGAGCACACCATTTAAAGAAACTTCATGTCTAGTGTGTGATTACTCAGTAAATCAGCTAAACATGTGCTTAGGGCATCAGCAAAAAGAAGCAAAAATTTTTTTTTAGTGAGGAGAATTTTGATATTCAAAAACAAGTCTTAAATTAAGGGAAAATTCAAAACCTCGTTGGAATTCCCTGCACTTAGTTTTTGGCATACCTAGGGAGGGAAAAGGAATATACCATAATCTGTTCAATCCTTAGGGCCTATACAGATCTTAATCTAGGGCTTCCCTGGTGGTGAAGTGGTTGGGAGTCCGCCTGCCGACGCAGGGGACGCGGGTTCGTGCCCTGGTCCGGGAGGATACCGCGTCCCGCGGAGCGGCTGGGCCCGTGAGCCATGGCCACTGGGCCTGCACGTCCGGAGCCTGTGCTCTGCAACGGAGAGGCCACAGCAGTGAGAGGCCCGCGTACAAAAAAAAAAAAAACTTAATTTAGCCCTGTTTATGGTGAATATTTTTGTAAAGCACACAACCTTACCTAGTTTATATAGTCATCCTTGACTTGTATTTTGGGGGGGTAAATCTGATTTTTTTTTTTTTTTTTTGAAAAATACAAACTTAAAGTGAGCTGCAGCTCTGTTTTGTTGGACTTGATAAAATCTAGGGCTGTGTCAGCCTCATCTAGTAGCAGAGTGGCTTTTTGAGCAGTTAACATCTAGTTGAATTTTGTCCTGGTCAGCTTAGGTTAGTTTAAGGTCCATCCACCAAAACACAATTGTACATGCTTCATAAATGTTTTTATTTACTGGTAACCATGTTCTGTCAGGGTGCTGTCTTGCCAAATACTTGGAAGAGTAGGCAGGGATACTATCTCTGGATAGAGCAGTAAGTTTCTATTTTTTCTCATGATGCAAACTCTTACGCTTTCTTAAAATTAAGATTCTTTCAAAAACATGTTTTTTGCCTGTATAAAAAGAGAAGTGTTCAACTTAATATCAGTGGTGTTCATTAATATCATTTGTTGAACTTTTAAAATATAAACATGGCTGGCATCCACACCCCACCCCACCAAACATTGAATCAGAATCTCCTCATGTGTAGAATCCACCCAGCTGATTCTGATGAAAATTCACAGCTATGAATTTCTGAGTCTTTGGTCAGTGGTTCTCAAAAGTCTGGTTGACCCTCAGAACAGCAGCATCAGCATCACCTAGGAACTTGTAAGAGATCCAGTTTCTCATCACTATCCCAGACTTAGAGAATCAGAAACCCTGGGTGGGTCTGCATTTTAACAGGTCTTCCAGTTGATTCTGTAATGCTCAAGAAAGTATGAGAATCACTGCTTTCAATCATCTCAAAGGTCTCCTCAGCTCTCAAATTCTACAAGTCATTGTCCTGATTGCAAAAAGCTTCCTGGACATTGGAATTTTCTGCCCATCATTCAACATTTTATCCTCCTCCATCCACTTCTGTTGCTTTCAACTTTCCATTTTAATATTCTCATTGAATGAATATGTCTTCTACTGTAAGCCTGCTCGACTGTTTGGTGGAAGAGTCAGGGTGTTAATGATAAACATTGCATAGAAAGCCTTTTTCTCCTGTTGTATTGCGTTTTTTACTGTTTGCCAGTTTCCTGATGGTTAGCAACTGTGGCATTATTAACCTTGTTTATGATTAAGAAACTAAAAGAAGGCTGCCTCCAGATTTGGATCGGGCATTGGCATGATGCTTGAGACAGATGGGTCACATTTAGCATGGGGTAGTTGGAGAGATGGCCACCGTCCTCTTGATCCTAATCAATGTCACTCTCAGCAAATAGCTCTGGCAGAACAGCTCCTTTAAAGTCCAGTGCGATGACGCGTACTGGCCAGGCAGGATGGGGATTAGAGCTCTCTCTGCTCACTATAAGGAAACCTCTTTTTTGGCTCCCAAATGGTTTCCAGAGCTATCAAAATAATACCATTTGCAGACACTTTTCATGGCTGAAAAGAGCAACTTCGAGAGGAAAGGGAGTGCTCTGTGGACCACGGGAGAAATGTTTTGCAGCTGGGTATTGCATGTTGCTGCTGACTGCGTGCCCTTTCAGTTGTGTGACTCACCATAGTGACTGGACAGTGGAAAAGCCACTTGACAGAAATGAAGAGTACCTCCCACAGGCCTCTGTCCTTGTCCACCAGCTCTCCTTTGTGGGCCGCAAACAGCAATGTGTAGGACATTGTACTGCAGATCTCAAGGAAATCTTGCAGTGGTGATGGGTTGGTGGGCCGCCTGCTGCTCATTAGCGATCCCGTCTGGCTCTTTTCCTGCAGGGTGAGTGGTGGATTACTCACACCTGTTTTCCCATCCAGCCTGGGGATGTGAAGTGTGCATTAGGAATGCCTGAAAGTGCTTCCTTGTGTCTGGGTCTGTAGAGCTTGGTGTTGCTTGGAGAGTGGGGGGTAGTGGGTTCAGTGCTGAGAGGGGAGATGAAAAAATCAGGGGTGAGAAACTGTAATACGAGCTGAACTGAGATTCTCACCCTCATGGAGTGGCTTCTGATTGTGCTGTTTGTCCTCCACGTGGCCGTGATAAACATAGTCACCCACTGAGCAAAGTAGAAAGATGCTTCCTGTCCATGAGAAGACCTCAAATGTTTCTCAGATAACATGGGTATGGGGACTTTCCTGGTGGCGCAGTGGTTAAGAACCCGCCTGCCAATGCAGGGGACATGGGTTCGAGCCCTGGTCCAGGAAGATCCCACATGCCGCGGAGCAACTAAGCCCGTGCGCCACAACTACTGAGCCTGTGCTCTAGGGCCCGTGAGCCACAACTACTGAGCCCATGTGCCACAACTACTGAACCTGTGCTTTAGCCTGCAGGCCACAACTGTTGAGCCCACGTGCCACAGCTACTGAAGCCCATCCACCTAGAGCCCGTGCTCCACACAAGAGAAGCCACCTCAGTGAGAAGCCCGCGCACCGCAACAAAGAGTAGCCCCCACTGGCTGCAACTAGAGAAAGCCCGGGCGCAGCAACGAAGACCCAGTGCAGCCAGAAATAAATTAATTAATTAATTAAAAAAACAAAAACATGAGTATGTAGTTGAAACTATGAGCACATTAGAAATGGAATAGAAATGGTCCACGCTTTCAACCAATTTTATCAACATTGTTATTTTAAACGAAATTGGGCCTTAAATATGTAAGATTCAAATGTGTGGATGGCATGATCAATTTCTCTGCACAGTTCTGTCCATGTGTTTTCTCTTCCCATCTTTACCTACTATAAAGTCTCATAAAAACTGGCAGACAGGGCTTCCCTGGTGGCGCAGTGGTTGAGAGTCTGCCTGCCGATGCAGAGGACACGGGTTCGTGCCCCGGTCCGGGAAGATCCCACGTGCCGCAGGGCGGCTGGGCCCGTGAGCCATGGCCTCTGAGCCTGCGCGTCCGGAGCCTGTGCTCCGCAATGGGAGAGGCCACAACAGTGAGAGGCCCTTGTACCACAAAAAAAAAACAAAAAACAAAAACTGGCAGATGGTGGACCAGAGGGCCTAATGTGCCTCCAGTCACAGATAAGAGAGCGCCTGCTATATGCAATGCATGTTGCTGAGTACGAGGGAATAACAAGCAGCACAAGACAAATGCCCCAATCCTTGCTTTTTCAAGTGCTTGCAGGCTACTAGAAAGAAAAGACATAAACGTCAGAGGTAGAATGATACTGCTGCATATCTTCTAAGCAAACGGATGATCCATATTTTCAGTGGGTTTGGGGAAGGACGAGAACTCTGAGTTGATGGGTCAAGGAGGATGTGGAAATTTATTCTGGGTACTGAAGGTTGAAGGGAATGCATTGAGAGTAAGAGAGTGGGGTGTGTATGTGATGCTCTTTCCC